CTGGATGATAAACCTGATGCCCTTTTTCTACCAGAGGTTCATTTTCAGCCACAAACAGAATCCAGTTTTAGAAATCGATCCATGCGGTCACAGCAAGTCCACATTTTATTACTGGAACTTGTACTGGATGCATGTTTTGTGTTTTTAATCTGTCTTTAAATGCAGAGTGACGGTAATGAATTTTGCCAGAACAGAAAATGATTGTTATAATATTTAGTCCTGGAATAGCAGCTGGATGAGCTTCAGACGGGTCCAGACCAGAGAGCTGGCTCTGTGCAGAGACCGCAGAGCAAACAGGCTGCCACATGGAACATCACAACAGACTGGCTCCATGCTAATCCTAACCTACACGTCGTTAACCAAACCAGTTCTATTTTTATTTCCATGTTTTCCAACGTTTTAATCCATCACTCACTCTGTAGCTTCAGAACTACTGAATACTTTGAGCTTAGGGGGAAAATGCTTTTTAGCTAAAGGTTGAGGCTTAAATACTTTACGACATTTTGATGTCCAAACACAATGGCTGTTTCTCAATTCAGAGGAACGCGAGTACGGACTTGTGTTCTCGCCAACTATGTTCTGGAGAAAAACACAGGAAAGTCTGGACTCTGGGAGAACGGGAGCACGACAAATAAATCTGGGTCAATTGGAACGGAAGCGTACTGATGACATCATCACACGCTCGGCTCGTCTGGAGCTGCATTTCACCTCCTGTTATTAATGGTCTCTAGATAATAATAAATTATTACTTTTTTCATTTAGTGGGGGAATAATAATTAATACAGTCAGATAAACACAAATAAAATGAAAATTTTTTCAAATAAAACACAATAATCTCCATCAAAGCCAGCGGTCCTTCACACGCGGCTATGCAGAGAGAGGGCTGCTGCAGACGGGCTAGCGTTAGCCTCAGAGGTCCGCAGGTTGCCGCGGTCCTCTCAAAATCGGAAACCTTTTTGAAAATTAGGCTTTAAATTGGTAAATGGTCCATAAAGTGACATCTAAAAGGATAACATTCTCGCTCAAATGATCCTAAAACATACTTTCACAGAACAACGGCAACAGAAAAGAGAACTTTTAACTTAATACTCTGAGTTCTGTGAGAGCGGTGCATACTGGGACAGCGGTCAGGCTCGACAACGGACAAATCTGCTCTGATGCATGCTGGGTAAAGAGTGAGGACAACATCCGGGGAATTTGTCCGTTCTCGGTCTGCTGTTCTTTTGAATTGGAACAGCACTACGCGTGAGGCTGATGATGTTTCACGAGCACACAAGAACGCACAAGTACACAGTATTCCAGACGGGTGATGCTAATAAGCGACAGCGTAGCCGTTACCTCAAAAAGCGCCATGTTGGTGCCGTCGTAACTGTTGTTCTTGTCATGTTCCGTGTTGTTGATGAACGGACTGTTTTCCTTTGGGACGCCATCACCTGTTGGAAGAAAACAGAGAACCCAGTAAATAACTTTCATGTTGAAAACCAGTAAAACCTGAAACTTAAGTGGATCTTTGCTGAAGATGGGCTGCATAGTAGAGGCAGACTGATACTGCGGTTGTATATGATTGTACATTTTATATGGTTGTAGATGATTAGATATACACATAAAATAAAATGATTGATTAAGAAAACGTGAATAGAAAAATCTGTTGATTACAGGTTGGTGGAAGTAGGGAAAAATAGGCATCAATAAAACCAATAAAATAAAAGACTCCCTAAAGGCCATTTACTCTGTTATATCAGTGGATTTGGACAGAAATATTGGGCTATATTCAATTTTCAATAAAACCTTAATTAATTATGATATACCAAAGAACTCAATAAAAAAGCCAGAGGAATATATTTAACGGGTGAAAACAATAAATTCATAATAATTCATTGTAGTAATAAAACAGAACAATCCTGTTTGCTTTAGCCAGGCTGACACAGTTTCTATGACAGAGGAGTAGATCAGTCAGATGGACATCAGTAGATTCTTCAAACAACTGAAACAGCTGGATTGTTATTCCTGAGAACATCTAGAACAAAAGGAAACTCAGACTGTGGCTATTAGTGTCTACTTTTAAGGCTAGGCTTAAAACTTTCCTTTTTGATAAAGCTTCTAGTTAGAGTGGCTCAGG